GCCTGCCTCTGCCTCCCAGTTGCTGGGATTAAAGGCGTGAGCCTTTATTTTTAATTGTGTGTATATGCATGTGTCAGTGTCTGGGTATGTGTATGTGAGTGCAGGCACCTACAGAGGCCAGAGAGGCCATTGGATCTCCTGGAGCTGGAGTTATAGGCAGTTGTGAGCTACCTGATACGGGTGCTGAGAACTGAACTTGAGTTCTCTGTAAAAGCAGTATGGGCTCTTAACTGCTGAGCCATCTCTTAGCCCCTAAAGGTATTTTACTATTGCTGTGTACTAAGTATCATACTAATACTTTAAAGAATCATCTTAAGTCCTTATAACAACTCTGCAAGATAATCATCAACATTTCCATTTTACCACAGAGTGGATGGGAATTAAACAATTAGCTTGAAGTCGCTCAGCTAGTTAGTATACTGGTCATTACTGAAATCTAGATCTATCAAAATTCCCTGCCTGTGATTTCCATGGAAGTAGATAGCTGTATAATTTTTTTTGACAGCTGCATAATTTAATGAGGGGCATGCTTTGTTACCAGATTCCAGACATACCACCATGGTGGACAGAGCTTTAAAATTCATTTTCCCATCTGCCCCCTGGACTAAGGATACAAGCATACTTGACAACCCTTATCAAAGACAAGCAGAACTTTTCCATGGTGTTTGGAGGTGAAAAATGTGATGAAGATTCGTCCACTGGAAGCAAAAACTGTTGTTACTGCTTTTTCTGTTTACAAAAGATGCACACACAGACACAGACACACAGACACACACACACACGCACACACACACACACACACACAGAGTATCCCAGGCATTTTGGGGGGGGACTAGGTCTTTCTAAATGAGACTAAATACACGCCTAAAGCAGCAAATAGCAAATAAGGGAGTGGATGGGGTAAGGTGGAGGTCTGTCCTTTGTTCAGCAATCTCTTTTTAAAAATATTTTATTTATTATTTTAATTTTATGTGAGTGTCTTGCCTGCATGTATGTAAGGGCACTTGTGTCATGCAGTGGCCTTGGTGGTCAGAAGAGGGTGTTGAATTCCCCTGGGACTGGAGTTATGGAGGATTGTTAGCTGCCATGTGGGTGCTGGGATCTGAACCTGGATCCTCTGCAAGAGCAGCAAGTACTCTTAATCACTGAGCCATCTCTCCAGTTCCCCGAAGTCTCTCTTTTAAAAAATATTATTTATTTATTTATTTATTTATTTATTTATTTATTTATTATTTTGTGTGTACACATGTCCACACATGTCACAGCACACACGTGGGGGAGACTTAGGGGACAACTTGTGGGAGTAGGTTCTCTCCTTCATGTGGGTCCTGGGGATCAAAATTAGGCCATCAGCATTAACAGCAAGTGCAAGTGTCTTTACCAGCTGAACCATCTTTTTTCTTTTTTTAATATTATTTTTTATTTTATTTTTAGAAGAATCATATCATTACAGCTTTAATATGCTCAATAACAGTTTCCAGAGCAAAGATACAGCTCTTCCAAAGTGGTTATAAAAATTTTAGGTTCGCTGTTGAATTAATAGTTATAAAATACTGAACTCAGTATAAGCCCTGTAAGAAGTGAAATTGAATGAGTTTTTAACCTTTAAAAGATCTCCATTTCATTTTACAATATATTGTTCCTTGTAGAAACA